CGAGATTGGTCATCAAAGGATGTGCGCAAAGACCTGGTATTGATTATGCTGAAACCTTCAGCCCGGTTGCTCGTCTGGAGGTCGTTCGATCAATATTGTCCATCGCAGCTGTTGAGAAGATGGTTCTACGGCAGTTTGACGTCTCAACTGCGTTCTTGTACGGAGACGTTGAAGAAGAGATTTTTATGAAGCAGCCTGAAGGATATTCAGATGGGACAAATCGTGTTTGTTGTCTCAAACGCAGCTTATACGGCCTTAAACAGGCACCTCGATGCTGGAATAAACGGTTTGACGACTTCATGAAAGGCTTAGGATTTCGACAGAGCTGTGAAGATCCCTGCGTCTACATTTGTCCTACCCCTGCTGGAAAAATCATCGTTGCACTCTATGTTGGTGACGGATTAGTCGCAGCGACTAGTCTGAAATGGACTTATTTATTGGGCAACTTCGTTCACAATTTGAAATTGTTGCTAAAGAAGTGTCATACTTTCTCGGACTCGAAATTTCTCAAAGTGATGGTGATATATTGGTCTGCCAATCAGCGTATATCAAGAAGATTGTTTCTCGATTCAACATGGAAGGATGCAAGCCAGTACTTACTCCCATAGAGAAGCTCACTGCTCAAACACCAGGGAAAGCCTCAGATTTTCCATACCGATCGGCAGTTGGAGCCCTACTTTATGTTGCTCGTGGTACTCGTTTTGACATTGCATTTAGTGTAAGTGTTCTATCACGTCACTTAGAAAATCCTACACAAGATGATGTCACAAGAGCAAAGCGTGTTATACGCTATTTGACCGGCACTGTGGACCAGAAGCTAGTGTACCAATCCAAACCTAAAACACGTCTACTGGAGTGCTATAGTGACGCGGACTTTGCTGGTTGTCCAACTACAATGCGTTCAACAAGTGGAGTTATTATTAAATACGCGGGTGCAGCTATCACTTGGCTTAGTCGTCGTCAGGAGTTAGTTGCGGACTCAACTTCTGAAGCTGAAATCATTGCAGCTAATCTTGGTTCAAATGAAACAATCTGGATTGCTCGTTTGTTCAAAGAACTTATAGGATTGTCTGCTGTTCCTATCCTAAAAGTTGACAACGAATCAGCAAGAAAACTCTGTGAAAACCCCGAGTTTCACTTTCGTACAAAACATATTCAGCGGAAGTACCTGTTCATTCGAGACAGGATAAATATAGGGATGCTGACTGTAAAGCACATCGGTTCGGAATATCAACTAGCAGATATACTAACAAAGCCTATACCTTGACCAAGACTTCAAGTTCTGCGAGAAAATCTTGGACTCTCGGCATGACTATGCAAATAAGGGAAAGTGTTGAAAATGCCTGCCTTTTTTATTTATTTGTAATAGTCATACTTCAGATGACGTGAATGTTGTTTTTACTATCAGCTGTCTGTTTTGTTGTCCAATATTGTTCCTTGTCATGAAAACATTAATGAGAAATACATTTGATTATTTTATAGTTTAAATTCGTTTTTCGTCGTAGTTTTGCTTAGATTATCCCTAAACACCTCCACTTGGGAGAATAATTCAAGACGTTTGTGAATAAGTTTACCACATCAAATGATGCTGTCAATGATGTCCAAAAGACCGCGGGAGATGTTCATCAGTTTGCAGCGGTTGCAGAAGACGATGATGATGTCTACACTGCCGCGGGGATGTTCATGATTTTGCCGTCATCACGGACGACGGCGATGACATTTAAACCAAAGTGTAAACCAAAAATAAAAATAGAATATTTTACTTAATTGCTAGTGGATAAACAATGTTTATTGTTTTTTCATTAGGTGTATAAATATATAAGTTTTCAGGCGTACCTACCACCACAAGGGCACGCAACATACAGCTGTCCGTTTGAAACATGTATTTTCTAAATTTAAACCTACGATAGTCCGGGATTGCCCTAGTGCCTTATATGGTGATTGCGAAAGCATGACACAAAGGAAATTGTAGTTGCTTAAATTCAGAGGGTAATTCGGATGAAATCGTCAGTATTCTTGGGATGAAGACTATTTCTCCTTTAAACTTACCACTGATAATTTTTGCTTCAATCGATTCTGGTGTCATTTTTTAAACGTATTAATAGTCAGTCTGGTAACGTTGCACAGCTTTGGTGGATTTAAGTTTCACATTAGTATTATTGGAGTTCCTTCTTTTAATGACAGTAATGTGGTGGGTAATGACAAATTGAGAGACATTTGAATACCCGAGATAGCACGCAGGATTATTATTCATTTAATAATTTATGTTAGGTTGTGTGGGTATAGAACAAAAGATAAAAATAATAAGGAATTGCCATCCCTTTTATTGTTTATAATACTTTGATAAAGGATTTTTTATGTTTACATATTTAACATTGGAGAATTTAAACGTTGTCGAGTGCACAGGTGTGCTGCGATTGGGGTTTAATATATTTGGACTTATTCAAAAGTAAAATAGTTTTCTGTGCTGCACTCTGTAGAAAAATTGTGGCACTATTTCAAATCAAGACTAATACAGAATGTTGTGATTATTCAAACCTACAAAACAGTTGGTGAAAGTAAACATCTGCTTTTAAACTGTATTTATTTGTAAACATTTTAGTTTAAAAGGTCTGAAATTGGCCCACTTAAAACCCTCTGGGGCGGAGCCCTTTTGACGAATCTGCACCAAACTTTACACAAACCATCCTTGAAAGATGCTTAATAATGCCTGAAAGTTTCATTACAATCTGTCGAGCGGTTTTGGAGTCCATAACGTACATATATACATAGTTCCTCTTTTAAAGATACAGATGTAGTACTGTACCAGTAGTTTTTTTTATGTATTTAGAAGGGTTTAAACTTAAATTGGCTAGTTGGAATGTATCCATTGCTGCATACATTTATTCTTTACCTGAAAAACACCCCATGTTAGAAGTACTCAATGTCTATTGCCTACTATCTACTGCCTGCCATATGAAGATAAAATCATATGTTTTATTAATTGTTATGATCTGATTATATAACTTGTAAACATTAATTTGTCAGTTTGTTCTCAACCATGTTAATTAAACTATCACTTGAATTTTATCTACTGAGTAAAATCTGATCATTATTACTAACTATTACTATCACCCTATTACCTCAAAAATACTTAATGAAAGAACATAAAGACAGGAGATGGTGTAGTATAAACAATTCATCCAGAAAATTTGGTAAAACGATAAAAAAAAGGTATCGGTATTGAGAATTGATTTTTAAGATATTGGTAGGCCTATCAAGAATCCGATACATCACTATTCCTGAATATTACAAACATCAAAATTTACTCCCAAAAAGCTGCTGAGTTTCTTTTAATAAACCGCTGTTTTTGGTTTTTGTTTTTAAATTTGTTCTATCTAATTTTTATGGGGGGAAATCGACCTAAACCCTTATTGCAAATCTACAAATTGAGACTTACCTTTTGACACCTCAAATGTTAAAATTGGTCCAAATAAGGGAGGAGTCCCCTAGTGTTCACGTATTATAGATATAGATGTGACAATTTTAAGGGAATATTTTAGTGGAAATCTAGCCAGGTAAATGTAAATTCGCTTAGTCTGTAGGTTTGCTATGGCGGGGGTATTTTAATATTACAGTATTTAGAATGCAATATAAATAATGAACTTAACTGAGATGGTCTGATAACCTTGATGTATCAACATAACAGTTGCTATCGCTCACAATACTTTACTAGTAAGTAGGGATGGTCAAGTCTCGAAATTTCGGGAAATTTTCAATCTCGTTACACGAGACGAGATTACTTTTTGGCCGAGATTTTTATCGAGACGAGAAGAAAAAAAAAAAAAATTAAAAAAAAAAATTAAAAACGCCTGCAGAAAGTCAATGCAATACCCGCAATACAGGAGCGTGTTGTAGTTGCGTTTTCTTTTCGAAGGCGTTCTTATTTAATTAATTCTTTTAATGTAAATATTACTTTAATTCTTTTAATGTAAATATTACTTTCATTATTTTAATAATATTACTTTAATAACATTTGAGAAGTTTTGTTAAGTGTAAGCAGTGTGAGGAATGTTTTATTACTATAAAAAAGTCAAAACAAGTAACTATTTTATAAAAATTAATATTGCTTTTATTTTATGATTTATTTTATTTTAGGATAAGTTGAAATCTATCCTAACTGATATCACCATGTTTCCTAATCGTAGGCATTTTTAATAAGTTAGGCGTGATTAATAAAAAAATGTTATGCTGATGTTATTTAATAAAAGATTGTAAATATTCTTGCCTATTATCATTATTTTAGTATTTAAACAGTCATCTAACAATGTTACAAAATCAGGTAAAAATTTCGAACGTGCATTTCCCATTGTGTATGAGAAGAGAAATCTCGTCTCGATCTCGTCTCGAAATTTTATGAGAAATAAAAAATCTCGTCTTGTCTCGTCTCGAACTAAAAATCCAATCTCGTCCATCCCTACTAGTAAGTTTAGTATTAAAGTATGTCTAGTTGTATCAATAGTCAAAGGTTTTGTTTTACATAATCACTTAACCTGGAATAATTAAATCTTGATAAAAAATATATAAAAACAAAGGTTTTGAGACGGATGTTATAAATACAAATTTTCTAACAGATGATATATGATAAACAGATTATTGGTAAGAATTGAACGCCTATAAGAATAGCATTGGAACTTAAAGGGCTTGTAAAAATATTTAGTAAAACCATTATAAAAAAGTAAACTTTCCAATTTTTCATCTGAATAGTGGGTATACCGAATTTCAACGTTCTAGCTAGTGTGGATGTTTGAGAATTAGCCATGAATCAGTCATTCAGTGAGGGCTTTGACTGTTATATTTTTAGATTAAAATGTAACAGAGGGGTGATTTGATAAAATACACAACCAACAAAACTTCTGTTCAAACCCCGCTAATTTCCATTTGTAGCAATAATTTCAAGTCAAAGTGTGTTGATATTAATAGTTGATATTAATAGTTATTTATAAACTGTGAATGCTCACTGGCAGATCCCGGCAAGAAGAGGCCTGAAGCCAACAGCTGCAGTACTCTCCTGTAGGCAACATTGATGGGAAGAGCCTGTCTGCTGGGGTTGTTCATGATAGCACTATGAGCCTGCAACCAACCATCCCATTGTTTATACTAACCAAAGGTTTACAGTACATTTACAAATATTGAGAACCTCTTACCAGTAACATATCATTTTAAAATCAATAATAAGTCCTACTCCTATTACATCAACTTAAGGTAAACAAATAATTAGTTACTTGCATTGTGTCTGTCATTATGCATATGTGCATGTTATGGCATAATGTGCATGTTATGGCATAATGTGCATGTTATGGCATAATGTGCATGTTATGGCATAATGTGCATGTTATGGCATAATGTGCTATGTTCATAATGTATTAGTGTGTGTGTGTGTGTGTGTGCTATACGTTGTATTTCCTATTTTGACGAGAATTGAAAATGAAACTATAATGTTGAGGAACTAGTCACCTGAGACTGTTTGGAGTATTGATGACATAAGGTAGTCAATTAAGTAACTAATTAACACGTTGAGTGCGGCAGGCATTCAAACAGGCCGGCACCATAACAGCGAACGCAATTGGCATTCAAATTAGTGATGGGAACTATCCAATAGAAACAAACGATTCATCCGGTTGTTGCGTTGTAAGGGTTTTATTTTTAGAAGGACGTTATTTTAATTCGCAAGACGATTTTATTTTATTTAGAAGGAAATGTTATTCTACTTAAGGAAATAGTTTTATTTTTGTAAATATAAATATAATTTGAACCCGAAGGTATATTTATTATTTCGTCGAGTATAAATACTGAATTTAAATCAATAGAATATTTTGTGTTTAAAGCCGAGACGAACTTTGTTGTCGTCGGGTCGTATCAGTTGTTAGGAGCGATAAGGGGCGGACGAGCACGCACCGTCGAGTTACCCGTCCAAGAGCGTTGCAACCCGCACTCGTGACCTTTGCACTGATATCTGGAAAATTCCTACCGTCACAGGAGCGTATATAAAGGGCTCTGGGTACGGTGGTAGGACAGTCAAGACCCAGCACTCGTACGGTGCGGGTTAGGCGAGTGCAGCAGTACATGCTGCACCGCTAACACGGAGTAAGGTAAGTTTAGGGAAACGTGTGCAATAGTATATATTGCACCGTACGATATTAAAGCGAACGTTAGGGAAGCGCGTGCAATAGTTATATATTGCACCGCTCGGGGTTAGAATAGGCGTTAGGGATTTCGGCAATAGTATATATTGCACCGTACGGTTAGGTTGCGTGTGCCATAGTTATATATTGCACCGCTCGGGGTTAGAATAGGCGTTAGGGATTTCGGCCCGCGTCCTTATTTTACCCTACGACGACTTTTGGCCATCGATGCATTATCCGGCTCGAAGGACCAAAATTTATTTCCGATCGATTACTAGGTCTGTGATAGCTGTGATGAAAAGAGTTGTATTGGAGTAAGCTTTTGCTTGACTCACACTCACTTCTGAGCTTAGACTTAGTATTTACGTAAAAATTGAACCTTGGACGAAATTACCCACGCTTCGACTGTTTTATCCGGCAAACTTTATTTGTGAGGTGACACGTTTTTCGACACCCCGGTAATTTTAACCTCACAGCGTGCCAACTGATTCATCCGATGGTTACTTTAATTTTCATCCGGATGAACCATCCATTCTATCACAGGTGAATCAGCTGAATCAACTATCTAGAGTCTGTCTGTAAAACCACCCGTTCCACGTTTTCATTCAATCGTAAAACTATCCGTGTCGCATTTTCATTCGTTTAAACTACGAATTAGTTATTTGACAACTGAAACTGTTCTTTATTTAATGGTGAAATGAATATTTGTTTATTTGCCCGATGAGTTAATTTGTTTAACTTATTTTTCTACACAGGGATATTTAATGGGTTATTTATTCATCCATTATCAGGTGAATCATCCAATCATCTGCTCATGCTCAGAACAACAGTAACTTAAATGAATAACAAACCTTAAGGAAACACTAATTATTTATTTTAATTTTATTTATAATAAAAATAAAACGGAAGAGGGAAATAATTTTATAACAATACGTTAATTCTTAAATCATGCAACACATATATTTATCTATTTGTTCATGATCGGGTAAATCCTCCGAAACATGGCGCTGGATAGGAACGCCAAATGCCAACATAGCCAAAACTATCTATCTGATCAGGTGCGCGAACTGATTGTTTATCCATTCGTTCTCTAGTTGGATAGTTTTATCTGTCTCCGGAAGCAGAACGGACGCTCCCCACCCCACTACACTCAAAACCATCGGATGAATCATCCATCTGAAGACTATCGGAAGAAAGCAAAACCATCGGATGAAACATCGGATGGTTGAAATGAGTCGTTTGTCCCATCACTAATTCAAATATTTCAATCTAACGAATAACAAAAGAGCAGCGGTGATTGTACTTTGTTACCCAGTCAGCACTCAACGTGTTAATTACTGTCATAAATAAATGCTGGAGGCAAGGATAAATAAATAATATATTGAAAATACTATTCTGAAATAAAAATATTCAAATTAAGTAATAATATTCTTTAATAGGTTTAATATTCTTGATTAAGTTAAGTTTATGTGAAAATGTTATGTCATGAATAATTTAGTTGGGATTTGTAACTTAACAACAGCGAACTATGTTTTTTTATAGACTATGTTAGACATAAAAAATGCATATAATGTTTTGTAAACTAGTTATAAAATGGGATTTCGATATCCTTGTTGATGATTCCTGTAAATAGTATCTAAAGAACTGGAAACAACCAAAATATAAGAAGTAAAATAAACAAAATAAAACATACCAGCAAGTCAAGCATCCAAGGTGTTAGAGGTTCAAATCCATCAAACCTGTTCTTCAAGTCACGCAGAAGCCGAATGAGTACCTAGAAAAAATACAACAAATAAAGCATTCTTATATCCTATAAGATTATAAATCCCCACTGCAGCTAACCTGCAGACTAAGCGAGTTTCTATTTGCTTGATTGGCTTTTTACTTAAATATATGATAGACTAGCAGAGTACCCGTCCTTCGTACGGGGTTGGCATATAGGAATAATACCCCCGCCGCAGCAAACCTGCCGACTAAGCGAATTTCCATTTGTCTGAATTGATTTTCAGTTAAATATATTTTAATAACATTAGGTTTAACGAGTACCTAGGTTTGCTGCTACAAGGAAACTAATAAAGTGTGTTTTTGAGTAAAATATTGATAGCTTAGTACAAAATAAATAAATTTGCCAAGTTTGATCAAAATATATCCATAAACAAGCAAACTACAACATTTGACAATATTCTCCATAAGAATAACATGGGAATTTTAAATTTACAATTTTTTTAATTTTCTCCGTTACTAATAATTGAACAAAAATACTTTTATATACTAAATTATTTGTTTTTTTTAAGCTCTTTAAAAAGGTCTAAAGAGAAATCGGGAAATTTTGTGTTTTGAGGGTCAAAAGTGAGAAAAACCAATTTTTACCCCATAAAACCCCCCGTAAAGCCCCGTTCCCATGGTCCGATCGTGCTGGTTCGCGAACTCATTCAAGTTTATCCTGCTTTACACCTTTAAACCAAATTTCATCAAAATCGGACAAAAATTACTCAAGTTATCGCGTTCACGGACGTATATATATATATATATATATATATAAGTCTATATATATATATATATATATATATACATGTATAAAAATTTGAACGAATGGTGTTTTTGGCCTCTGGGGACATCAAAATGAAAAAGTAAATCGGTCCCGGGTCTTGGTCTTACCGTGCCACCTACGGTAATAGCTACTTCCCTATAGGGAAATTCGCTAAAATGCTTATTGCAGTTATACTCTTAAAGGTTTGCGTTTTTAATGGGGGAGGACACAGTTTTGCTTCTTTAAATTTACGGTATACATAGTATTACACATCTACCATAGCCATAATGTTCTACCACTTCACCTAAACCACCTAAACAATAGAGAAAAATTACAATCCTAAAAAAAACAATCCTACTTTTACAGTTCTCATTGCGTACGGTATCACAGCTTTTTGTTGCTGCTTAGTTCAAATTAGCTGTTTTCATAAATCACCTTTTGGTAAATCTTATAGCTTTTTAATGTTTTTGCATATCATAGAACCAACTTTTTTAGTTGAAACAGCTGACAAAATTCTTAAATTCCCTTTAAATATGAATACTCATAATGTTAACATGGAAAACTATAGAGCCACTGGGGCGGAGGAGCCCGAAAGGATTTTTGAGATAAGAATATGCCTATATGTTAATCGGGAATGTGACCTATCATCGTGCCAAATTTCAGCCCAATCCGTCCAGTAGTTAAAGCGTGATTGAACTTCGAACAAACAAACAAATAAACAAACAAACACGCAAACTTTCACGTTTATAATATTAACATAAAGGTATTGGATTGAACCTGTTTTTTCCAGAGCTCTCAAGGTATCAGAGGAGAATATCTCTACATTTTTATCTTGATGATGCTTGTTTCCCATCATAGGGGCACGTGACAAAAAATCTGCTATCAGCATACTTTTTCCTGGTTTGTAAATTACATTGAATGTAAACCTTTACAAGCGAAGAAGCATACGTTGCAGTCGTTTTGGAGCTGACGTCAAAGGCTTCTTCAAAATTGTTTCTAAGGGCTTGTGGTCTGTTTCAACCGTAATGTCAAGTTTTCCGAAAAGGTATTGTTCAAATCTTTCCAAAGCGTAAACAACTGCCAAGCATTTCTTTTCAATCTGTGCATAAAAGGATTCTGTTTTACTTAGTGTTCTGGATATGTACGCAACTGGCTTACCCCCCTGCAAGAGAGAGGCCCCTAAACCAAACTGGCTTGCATCGCATTTGTACAGTTGCACATTGTCCATATCAAAATACTGCAAAGTTGGAGCTGATGTAACCATCCGGACCAGCTCATGGAATGTATCATCATGTAACTTTTCCCACCTCCAAACAGAGTCATCTTTCAAGAGTAATCTCAGTGGTGCTGAGATTTCAGATAATCTAGGCATAAACTTTCCTAGATAATTTACAAAACCAGAAATCGCTGAAGTTCATTTTTATTCTGGGGAGGATTCATGTTGACAATAGTTGATATTTTCTCAGGATCTGGTTTAAGGCCATCAGAACTTAATTTCTCTCATGCCAATCATGCATTTCTTTAATTAAATTGAATTTAGGCCTAATATTTTTTTCGTGAGATCTTTGCAAAAGTGCTTTCAAATTCTTGTTATGATCTCTCAGAGCTTCTTCCTCCGAGTCTCCGCTTACAAACACAACCACATCATCAGCTATTACAATTATGCCTTCAAGACCTTCAAATTGATCATTAACACGTCGCTGAAATTCCTCTGGAGCCGAACATATACCGAATGGCAATCTCAACCACCGATATCTCCCATAAGGCGTCCAGAATGTTGTTAGTTTACTTGCTTCATCTGTAAGCTGAACATGCCAAAAACCGTCCTTTAGATCAAGTTTGCTGAATATCTTAGCTTTCTTTAGCTGAGGTACAACTTCTTCAATAGTAGATGCCTGGTAGTGTGAGCGTTTGATTGCTTTATTCAGTTGATGTGGATCAATGCAAATGAGGAGCTTATTTGGCTTTTTAACCACTACCATAGCGCTGATCCAATCAGTGGGTTCTGTTTCCTTTTTAATAACTCCAAGGTCTTCCAATCGCTTGATTTCTTCCTTTATTTCTTCCTTTAGTGATACAGGAAATCTCCTGGGTGGGATTACTACAGGTCGCACGGATCTATCTAGCTCGAAATCATACAGTCCATCAAAACATCCTAGGCCTTTTCCGATATCTGGATATGTAGACAGCATTTCATTGGAATTTTCAGAGCATTTTATCTAAAACACCATCTCATCAAATGAAATAAGTCCCAGCTTTATACAATCTTGGACACCTAGTAACGGATTATGAGGAGTTTCAATTACCTCAAAGGTCAGCCTGTGTCTCCGGTTCTTCCACCAGATATGAATTTGAATTTTCCCAAGCGAATATTGAGACTCACCTCCATAAAACGTTAGTCTAGTGTTGCTTTCTTTTTGTTTGGGACTCCCAACTAATTCCTGCAAAGTACCAATCCCAATAACATTGCATGACGCACCACTATCTATTTGACATTTCAGTTGCTTGTTTTGCCCCTTAACACACATAGGAAGGTTAACATATAACTGCTTCTTAGGGAAATCGTCATCGACGTTGTAAACATCATCATCACCACTATCAAAACTTGGTTGATCGTTACATCCGGGAGCTGTCCTAAATTGCCTTACTTCACGATTGTTTTGCTTCCATACTTTGGAAAAGTGGTTTTTCTTTTGACACTTATTGCAAACTTTTCCGAATGCTGGACAGTTTTTTACACTCCAACCACAGTATTTACAAAGCTGCATGTTATTATTGTGCACTTTAAAGCTTGTTTCACACTTCTCGTCAATAGGACTTTCATCGTATCTCATTTGGGATGCAAAAGTCTCTGACTGTTCATCGGCAACGCACAATTGAGTGGCCTTATCCAATGACAGATTAGTTTTAGACGATAAAAGTTTCTTCAGTCGTATTTGTTTTACTCCAGCCACCAAACGATCACAGATTAATCTCTCTTCTAACTCATTTTTTTGTAAATTTACCAAGGAGTTAAAATCACACTTCCCTGCTAGCACATGAAATCGGTTGATAAAATCTTTGCATGTTTCACCTGCTTCTTGTATAGCACTGTTGAATACAAATCTATCATAAGTTACATTTCTTGCATCTTTGAAATAGTCATCCAATCTAGATATGACTTCTTCAACATCTGATGGCTCATTACACAGTTTATTTATTAATTTTACAGCTTTTCCACCAATAACTGTAAGAAATAATGCAAGCTGTGTCTTCCGATTTGTCAGATTCATACTTTTTGAGCTGCATGCTTGTGCTAAGGTGATGTAGTTCTCCCACTGACATTTAAATAGCTCCCAATTTTCTGCTGATGATTGCTTGTCCGTGAAGTCAAATTTGTCTGGAACTGGTATATTATTCATGTCTCGTAATTCAAAAAACTGACACCATGTTGATAAATCTGATTTAAAGAATTAACAGTTTAAAAGTATTTCAGAACGCATTTTAATAATGAACTTATAATCATAACAACTTGAAAAATCTAAATAAAAACATAATCACATGTAATGAAGAATCACATGCTTCAAATTAAATTACTTACTTAAAATTAAATTCTAACACCATTGCCAACAACACCAATATAATATTGCCCTCTTCTTCCTCGTTCAAGATAGACACCTTCAAATACTTACTCGAGGGAACACCTTAACAGCATCTTCCTGCCTGAGTTTAGTGATGTGTAGTGTTTAAGTGCCTAATGTAAACTCACCTCACAATATTAATTTAGGCTAGGCCTATTCTATAAATGTTTAAAGTTAATAAGTTAACAAAGATATATGAATTACAAAAGGTGTTTTATTTAAACAAATGAACAAACATGCAATGAGAAAAGGCTTGACGTTACAATGAAAGGACTGACAATGGTGTGTGGGGTTGAAATTAAAATGAAATAAAAGATAAGTTTGAATAATAAAGGTTCAAATAATTTCGATGTGATATATCTCAGGGTAGGGTGTCGTGCTGGCTTGAATGCTAAGAATTAATAAATTTAATAGTGTCCAAATAGGCCTAATTAAGGTGTTAAACTTACAAATCCCAACAATGAAAAATCTAATTTTGATGTTGTCCAAAAGATAAATCCAATTAGTACTGAATTTAAAAGAGTTTAAAAGAAAAGTTTATACTTAATTTTGAAGATAACAATGATGGAGTTGAGTCCTCTTGAGGTTTAGGCTACTGTGATATAACTTGATATAAACTGGTCTTCTTAATGATATTAATGAATTTGATTTAGATAAAATTTGGACTCCTTCTTCTAACTAACTGTTTCAACTTCTGCAATGGCTTCCTTCTCTTTCAATTTCAATGTTCACATAATTCATTGTTGAACACATGGATCACTGTTTCACTGCTTCTTGAATTTTGATTCCTTAAGGACTAATTTTGAAATGATATTATAAAAAATTTTGATGTATTGCAATTCTCTTACATATTTAATAAATAATTAGGTTGTGGGCTTTAATATATATATATATATATATAGGCTATGGAATGAATATTATTAATGATTAATTGAACATATTAATGAAATTATATAAATTAGGAAAATGAATATTAGGCCAGCCTTTCTGAGGAGTGATTATTAACAAAGGTGTATGAACAAAAGTTAAGATTTTAAGAAACTTAATACTAAATAATGAAGTAAATGACATTAAATATTACACTAAGTGGTGCCTTTAAAGGGTCACACTTCTGTTCTTTGTTTTGGTGTCTGGTGGTGGGTCAAAGGAATGTAGAGCAAGCTAAAGCTAGGTGGTGCCTTTAAAGGGCCACACATGAAAGTTAGTGTTCCAGCATGGTGTACCCGTGGTGTTGATACAGCGTCTTTCCTATGTCATAGTCATATTATATGCACACACCCACACAAAAAATGTCATGCTAGTCATAGTCATCCTTTGCATTTTTATCGCTAACTAAGTCTGTTGTTATAGCTTGTGCATAGTTTATAATTTGTTATCGTTATTCATTACCATAGTCTATTTTTTGTGAAATGTTATTATTGTTGCTTGCTTTTGCCCATCATTTGTTACCATTATTACTACAGTAGAGAATATTTGTTAATATTAATTATAGTTCTTATGTCAACCAGTTCTTTATTGTTAGCTTGTATTTATTATCATTGCAATCCCTGCCATCTTGTTAATTTAGTTTTGTACCAAACTGTATTAAATGGAGAAACCGTTGGAATAAATAAATAAATACAAATAAGCAGCTATTTAATAAGTAATACGATAATTTTGTCTATTACGATTGTGTTACTGTTTATTATACTATCGATATGTCAAACTATTGGCAAGAATGCAACAATAAGCTACAACCGATTAAATCAATCGATAAATAATTTCAATACACTTGATTGCTTACAATCGAAGTTTACTACAGATGATTTTTACTCCTTATGGCGTAAAAGAGCATGTATTAAACATGTATGTTTGTATGTTTAATGCATGTATTAAAAACTATTTAGCCTAGTTAAAAACTAAATTATTAAAACTATTAAAAATCAGCAAAAAATTATTTTGCTGCATTCAGTAGCCTAATTTCATTAAATTTAGGGGTGTGTAATGCATCGAAATTCCGATTTGATTTGATTCGATGCATCAAACTCAACATGAATTCAGTGGTTAACTATTACTATATAAAAATATAGTATATTACTAGTTATAGTATATATACTATATACTACTAGTTAACTAAACTATATACAAAATATTTGATTCATGAGGGAGTCAGTATCCATATACGAAAAACGCCTGTAGAAAGTCAATGCAATGTGCAATACAGGAGCGTATTGATGTTGCATATCCTTTACAAAGGTGTTCTTATTTAATTAATTCTTTGCTTGTAAATATTGCTTTGTTTTATAATTTTTTGTTTTTGACATTGGAAATGATGAGAGGTTTAGTTTTTTGTCTTGATGTAAGCAGTGTGAGTCATGTTTTACTACTGTAAACATAGCCAATTCAAGATATGCTACTCCAAATTCATTCTAATAATAACACAAGTCTGAAAAATTGTTACTCAATACTTAACTAGTAAGATTGATGTTTTAGGCTGATAAATTTTGTATTTTTGGAGGTCTGATTCTATCCTCTCCTTTTATTAATGCAAACCAATTGAAAGTTTCAGTATACATTTTACAATTTTTTTATTTGTTTACACCAAAACATATCTTTATTTGTAAAATCAGTATTATAAAATAGCACTGACATTTCCATAAATACAAGTTCTTATAATATATGATTGAAAATAAATATTTTTTCACATAAAATTCATATGTTATGTATGTGGTGAGGCCTAATACCATATCAACAAAAATATGCATTACACAAATGTGGTAAATTTTATTTATTGTTAATCCATTTCATTGACAAGTATGAATAGAAAAATGCCGTATTGCTTTGAATCGAGTTGCATCCAATCAAATTGAAAATCTTTTTAATCAAATTGTTGTTTCAAATCAAAAATTTGTTATGCTTTGCACACCCCTAATTAAATTACAATTTTATTAAAATACATTTAAGTTTTTGGTTTATAATTGAACCATGTAATTAATGCTTTGACCTATTAATTAGTTGAGGTTTTAAACCTACCTAATAGTTAATCATAAATTCCCAGGAATTTATGAATTGTGGGAAGATTGCTAACAATATTTCCTAGGAATATTTCCTCGATTTTAAATTTCCAGCAATTTCACATCACTAGGCCAAGTTAGTTCAATAAACAATGTGCAAGCATAATATCAATATACAACACACTATCTTTCAGAAATGCAATTAGAAAAATTGTCTAGGTATTGTTTTTGAGATGCTAAAGTTATGTCAATGTAATTTTAGAGATTGATCTATATTGACAACGTTTGATCCGCCTCCACATAGTCAAGTCTCTACTGTTTTCATTTTGTGGTAAATAAGTGTAAAATAAGAGTTGGCCACCATAGGCCAAAAATCCGTATCACAGAGGTGAGGATTTAGGGTGAGAGTAATATAAACCTGCAACTTGAGCAATAAACTCAGTCTTGTGATAACCAGAACAACACAACCTCAAGTGAACAAGCCCGAATGTTTAGTCTTGACATCAGTTGTCTGCTGATTTTGGCCGCCAAATGAACTAAATCACTCAAGAAACCAACCTGCAAAACTAGTTGTTGTGAATTGTCATATAGAAGGGATTAAAGAAAAGTAAAACACTACTAGTCATGTGTCGATTCTCGATACCACCCTGGGACATTGGTATTGGTGTCGAGGATTGATCGTAAAAAGTCCATACCAATACCTGACGTGTCTGCGAAGATCGCACAAACGATAATAGCTGCGATCACGGGTGACAACAATAACGTTTCCGTGACTGCGGGAGACGGTCAGAATTCGGCCGCAACCGCGGAAGTCGAAGATGATGTCCACACAACCGCAGAAGATTATGTTAATTTTTCTGCAATCACAGAAACTGACGTTGATTTATGTTTCCGTACCGCGGGAATATTCATGACATTGCCGAGACCACGGGGGACGATCAGAATATTACCACGGTCGTGGCAGATGACGATGTCTACATAAGGTGGGAGAATTTTGCTGCGATCGCAAAAGACGGTGATGATGTTTCTGTTACTGCGGGGATATTCAGGATTAAACAATTTAAACAAACAACTTAAACAAATTAAACATCACCATAATTATCATTAATTAATTAATTAATAATCATCATAATTTTAAACAATTTAACATCACCGTGACCGTGGGAGACGATGATGATGTCTCTATGACTGCTGGAGATAATCAGAATTTGGCCGTGATCATGGAAGACAACGATGATGTTGTTAATAGAGTATTTTATATTTGTTGATCCGATTATTTTTTATGGCAACAGCACTCATTAATTGTCTGATATACAGTATATCATAGACGCCTAACTTACTTGTCGACTGCGGTTAAGTCATTGGAAACATAATGTTGTAATTCAGGGAAACTAATGATGGTTATAACAATTTGGTTTTTCAGACTTAACATCAAAATACACAGTCTATCCAAGACGGATATTTAACAGATAGTGAAAAATATTGGCTCGGGTCGACCGAATCGGAACTGATTTTTTGGATATTCACAACAATAAAAATATTTTAAAATCCTAATAATAATTTTTTTAAGGGTATACAGTACCTTAGAAGTAATTATGAACCAGTAGAATGGAGTGATGTACAGACTAATAGCTTATTTTACATAACCTTAAACCATAACCTTATTTTACATAACAGGATAAAGTGATGGTGTTTATTATAATTCACTCAAATAATTTAAATGCATTTAGCGTGCCTTTACAGAGGAATGATGAGCGTTCTCCTCAAACCAGCGACTGTGGCGGATAGCAGATAAGTGGTTCTGTAAGGTCTTGTAGTCCATGTGTATCTCAGGGTCCAGCTTACGCAGGTTGTACTGCACGGTGCCAACCAACACACGGACTGCCGCCTCCGAGTTGCTAATTTCAAAGAATCCCTTGTCATTTGTGCACAGTGCCAAAACTGAAATAAAAACAGAGGTTTCCACCAACACATGGCACAGAACGTAGTGAATACCTTATTTTAAACAATAATTTAAATAAAAAAAGCCTGTTGAAGAGCATTTTGTGAGATGAATTTTTCTAGTTGACATAGACTTGAAATTCACTTAATTTCAAAATAATTTTTGTTAAAGAAAAAATTAAACGTTGTATTAAGTGTCAAGTGTAAGGCTATAGTATTCTAATGAGAATCTATCTATCTTACCTGAGAAAAGTTGTTTATTTCTATGTGGACATAGAAATAGAGTAGGATTTTCAAGTCTATTTATAAAACAAAAAGGAAATACCCCCGCCGCAGCAAACCTGCAGACTAAGCAAATTTCCATTTGCCTGATTGGATTTACACTAAAATGTCTCCTTAAAAATATCACATCTATTCCCTATTTAAATAACATTAGTTTAACGAGTACTTAGGTTTGCTGCAACAGGGAGGGTAAAAAGGTGTTTTTTGTAAAATGTTAATAGTTTAGTATGAAATGAATGCATTTTCCAAATTTGATAAAAATATGACCATAAACAAGCAAACTACAACTACTTTGCTTTAGCCTACTTATTTTTACTTATTGATTGATTGATTGAGATTGACAGTTTACTTATTCACCATAAGAATAAATAATGTGATAGACATTAATACATTTCATTTACCTTCATTTGCATTAGTTTTCTTGAGATCCTCCAAGATCCGGTTGCCAAGAGCTCCTACACACATCTTAGTGGGCAAAGTTTTTAAAACCACAACTATATCGGCTACATTGTGTCCTGTCAACATTGTCCCTTTCTTGAAAGAACCAACTTGCCTTGCTTCTTCTACTTGCTAAAACAAAACATCTATCTTAATCACAAACCGAAGGAATCAATGAATAAAGTATTCCTTACAGAAGATGAGGTGATATCTAAAAACTGCAGTAGAATCTCAGTAATCCAAAACATATGAGAGAAGGAACTTGTTGGATTATAGAGGGATTACTGAAGATATCAGCAACATTTTTTCAACTCTCTCTTACTACAAAGCTACCTAGTTACTGTTTTAGAGTGCGTAACTGCTGTAAGAATTGGCTTGATGCAGAACTATTTGTAGCCTACTATGCAGCACTAAGGTGTGGCTCAAGAGCTCGGGACTGCACAGTCCGCGACCAGACATTGGTCCCAAAGAGTGCGACCAAAGCGGCGACCAAAAAATGGGTTCACGAGACAGAGCGTAATAATATGAAAGCCGGACTTATTTTTGGTTGAGCGCAAATCGAAGCGGAGCCTTATGACAGGGATTCGCAGGGAACTTTTGTTAAAAGGTTGGCAACAACGGGCAACAACAGCCTGAATCACATGTGAAGCTACTGCTCCTGACCAACACACTTCCAATTAATAGGATGATCGTGAAATAAGGCTGAACCAAAACGATTATTACTCGCATATTTTGTTGTCTCAAAGCTTGCCAAAGTTAATTGTAAAAAAAAGCCACATTTGTATGAAATAAAATAATTGAAGTCATTAACGAAATTTATTTTTCTGTTTGCATCATTGTATTTCAATTTATAGCCTATATGCATGTAAATCAAAATCTTGGGTATTTAGGAAGGTTTCTTGGATAGGCTAGTTTTAAAATGGTACAATTGGAAGATCTATAAGTATGATCATTTTAAATTCCCTACTTACACAGGCATCAAAATTTCCAGGAGCAACAACAAGATTGTCAAAAGCAGCTTGAACCATATTAACAAGGTTCAGCACTGCTGCTTGTTCTTGAGGAGTTGGAGTCAAATCTGTGTTACGTTTTAGAAGAGCCTGAAAACAACGTAATCATTTTAGGAAGTTTTATGAAAAATTCTTAGCTAAACATAAATGGCCTTGAAAGTTTATCCTTAACAAAACAATTATAAATGATACTGTAGGCAACCTTTTAATGTGATGTGCGTGGGACAGCTTTTTTTGTTGTAAGAAAACCAAAGTCTGTCTTAAATTTAGGACTGTAATCTGGGGCAAAATGTTGGTGCAAACATAGCTTACCGTATTTTATTTATAATTTATTTTACATACAGTAGACTCTTGCTCATCCGGATCGGCCTTGTTTAGCTCCCGGTAGTCCGGATCGGCAATCGTGATTTTTTTTAGTGGCACAGCACAGTAGAAGTCCGATTATCCAAGCGAAACGGGACCGAGACTACCTTGAATAATGAAAAAAAATCGGATAACAGGGCGGTAAAAATTATTACCGGTGGAAGTGCATATGCCCGGGCTATCATTACTGTGGACCTGGAACAAAATTCGGACGAAAAAATAATACCGGTGAAAGTGCATTAGCCCGGGCTATCATTACTGTGTACCTGGAACTAAATTGAAAAAACTACTATATACAGTACTGTGTATTTGCTCGACTCTCGATAGTCCGGATTTTTCGTAATCCGGACCGGACCCCGCCACATTAGTCCGGATGAGCGAGAGTCTACTGTACTTATCTTCAGCACACCCAATTCTTTAAATACTGTAACTTTGAAAATGTTGAATTTAAAATATGAAATTGATATGGCAAATTACTGTCACAGAGATTTGGGTACGATGTGGCCAACTAAATATTGAATTATAACTATTACTTTCTCCGCAAAAGATACCATGAAGTATAACTGTAATTACTTCAGCCTAATTTTAAACAGTTTTCTATAAGGAGGTAAAAACGAAATGACTACTGTAGCCTAGTATGTTTAAACTTCTTACCTGTGTAAATGCTTCTTCAGATCCTGGAGACAGAGGTTTCACTCGGGGGAAGGCTTGCTCACAAAGGGCCATATCAAATGGATGTCTGGGGACAAACGCTGGAGGGAAATTTTTCTTTGCAAAGAATGGTACTCTCATTCCTCCACGACCCATCATAAAACCACCCCTGCCTCTACCTCCTCGAGCCATCTTTGAACCTAAAGCAGCAGGAAAAAATTAGGCATTCTGTATTTCTTATCTTACACTAACAGTTCTCATAGGAAATTACTTAGTTGTTCACATCTAGGACAGAGTAACTGTAAAATATATCAAACAAGATACAGTTTCACATGTGTCCTCCATGACAATGAAATGAAAACATTAAAGATAAAGGATACAAACGATTAAGCACAGTGATAGTTGTTTTAGGGAGTTTAACCTGGTTTACTATAAACTTAAACTCTAAACACACCGGCGTCAACAGACGTCTTACTACGTTTTCGGAAGACATCGCTGACGTTGCTCCTTATGTTACTGTGTACCGGTACCTATTTAAATGAGAGTGTTCACACCGGCGTTTTTATAAGTGCCAGTCACCGGCAAGGTACAAGTCGCTCGCGTCACTGATTACGAGCATGCACAATAGTAATCTGGGCTGTCACCGTCACCCTCCAGGCTGAAATATGCTCAACAATTTTTAAGATAATTCTTAAGTCAAGAGATTAGATGATGAAATCTGCCAAATAGGTTTCTTCTTCAATAATTGGATAAATTTATTTCGATCTTTGAGATGCTGAATATACGAGGGGGTACCCAAAAATAACCGGAATTTTGTTTAAAATATAGGCCTACATATATATTTTTTTTTTTTTACAAAACAACCTTATCACCTTCAAAGTACTCTCCATTGCACTTTATACACTACTTATCCCATAGTTTTTTCCACTGTTCGAAACATGCTTGGAACTCCTCTTCAGTGATGGCTGCCAGTTCCTCCGTTGTTTTTTTCTTGACATCATCCACACTGTCAAATCGGAGACCTTTCATGCCCCTTTTCATCCGTGGGAATAAAAAGAAGTCGCAAGGAGCCAGATCTGGTGAGTAGGGTGCGTGTGGTAGTGTAACCATGCCATTTTTGGCAAAAAACTGGGCGACAGAGATTGCCGTGTGCGCAGGCGCGTTGTCATGGTGAAAAAACTAGTTCCCTTGTTTGCCAAAAATCAGGTCTTTTGCGACGGATGCTGTTCCGTAGTCTTCTCAAGACTTCAAGATAAAACACTTGATTTACTGTCTGGCCTGGTGGAACAAATTTTGAATGGACAATCCCCTTCACATCAAAAAAACAAATGAGCATTGTTTTGACACTCTGTCTGACGGCACTTTTTTGGTCTGGGTGATGATGCCGTCTTCCATTGGCTGGATTGTTGTTTCTTTTCAGGGTCGTACCTCTAGCACCAAGATTCGTCGCCTGTAATTATTTTGGACAAAAAATCTGGATCGGCTTAAAGTTGCTGTTTCAAATCACGGCAGGCTTCAATTCGACGTTACTTTTGAAAGTCAGTGAGAGCACGAGGCACAAACTTGGCGGCAACCATTTCATGTTCAAATCTTCGGTTAAAATCTGTTGAACTGAGCTCCATGATAGCCCACTAGCCTCTGATATTTGCTCGATAGTCTGTCGTCGGTCTGCAAGCACAATTTCTTTCACTTTCACAAGATTTTTGTCTGTTCGTGAAGTCGATGGTCGTCCAGAACGAGGTTTGTCCTGAATTGACATGTCACAATTTTTTAAACCGAGAAAACCACTCGTACACTTCGGTTTTCCCCATAGCGTTGTCTTTGTAGGCTGTCTTCAACATTTCAACTGTTTCAGCGGCATTTTTGCCAAGTAGAAAACAAAATTTCACAGCAGCACGCTGTTCACTCAAACTTGCCATTGTAAAAAACGACAAAATCACAAAACAGCACTAGCAAAAACTAGTACTGCACGGGGACAGACCACGTCAGGTCAACGCAACAGGCGGCACTGAACTGGCTATAAGCAGCGCTACATGAGCCAAGCGGCGAGAATTTGTACTACGCAAGCTCCGCCCACGGCAGAACTATTCCGGGAACTTTTGGGTAAGTTTACCCCCTCATATGATGTAATAACTTAAGACCATATGTATATGTGAATTATTGATCACCTGTTATTTTGCATTTATTTTGTTTGTATTATTTTTTCTGATTACTATTAAACACAAGTACTAGAAAAATACCGGTATGGATCATAAACATTAACAAATGACGTTGTTGGCCCGAATCCTATACTAATAGCATTAAACGTATATGTTTTGGCAATTCCATTTAAGCAATGTTAAATAATGTTTATTTTCGGGCCAAAAACGTCATTTGTTTAAATGTTTATGATCCATACCAATATTTTTCTAGTATTCATGCTATTAAAATATGAGTTTGATTCAACTGAACTAATTTACTTATTATTTGAAAATGTAACACTGGCGACGATAAAAACGAAGAATGGATGAACAAGAGTTAAATAACCTAAAGAAAGCACGAACTGTAGTAAAAGGACAGTTGAAGAAGGCAGAAATATTCCAGTCTCAAGGTAGTCTTACAATGACTGAGGTGAGTGCTAAACTCAAAGCAATTACTGACCAGTGGGAACATCACAAAAGTATTCAGGACGAAATTGATACATTAACCGATGAAGAAAACTTGCAACATGAAATAGAATGTAGGTGTAATGTCGAGGATAAGTATTTAAATCTTACAACAAAACTTCAAGAGTTGATTAAGAATGAAGGTTCCAACACTAGGTCTACACCACTTCACCCAATTAGCAATCCATCTGAGGCGACACATAGATCAATTCCCGGGTCCTCATTGTCGGGTAGTATTAATTTTACACCTTTTCACCCACGGGAAACTGTTACAAAGTTCATAAAGAGACTTGAATGAAATATTCCAAGACCTTAAAAATCTAAGTACAGATGGCAATGCTAAAGTTTACATGCTACTACACGCTCTTACACCCCAGTTACAGCAACAACTTTATGATTTATGTGCACCTGAAAACTCACTTACAAAAGGCTACAGTGAGTTAGTTCAGATACTAAAGGATTTTGTAGAACCACAGCCAAGTCAATGGGCTTTACAACATAAGTTTATTTCTCATACTCAGCAAGAACATGAATCCATAAATGAATTCTCAACAGAACTTAAGAAATTAACTAGCAACTGTGACTTTAATTGTGATTGTGGGAAGTCGGTTGCAGAGATGTTTCTTAAACTTCAGTTTATCCGTGATTTGAATGACATAGATATTCAAGCCAAACTTCTTCAAGAACGAGACGAGATAAACGCACGTTGTGACATTGTTAACCAAGCACCAGCAATGGAAAAAGCTAAATATGAGAGCAAAACTGTAGGTGGATTACGATAGTAGTGATAGATAGGAACAAGCTAAAGAAAATGTTGTCTCGACAAACATTTCAAGAATCCGGCACGAGACCCAACACAACATTTGTCAATCTAAAAGAGAAATGTTACATTTTCAAATATAATAAGTAAATTAGTTCAGTTTCTGAATCAAACCCATACTTTAATAGTAAACAGAAAAACTAATACACACAAAACAAATGCAAAATAACAGGTGATCAATAATTCACATACACATGGTCTTAAGTTATAACATCAGTTAAATACATCAACTCTCCCCTCTGAAACGTTTTGGTAACGATACCTTGCATTTGAGTAGTTGGTCAACGAGGTCTGTACAAAGTTAACCGTTAAATGTTTGGTGTCAATGTTGCTCCGTCCCTTTGGCAACAAGTCATGGACAAAACTTTACAAGGTATTTGCGGAATGCAATGCTTTTTTGATGACATTATTATACAAGACATCTGATGAACTCTTGAAAAGATTAAAGGTTGTTCTAGAAAGATTAAAAAGTAAAAACTTAAAATTGAACACAAAAAAGTGTAAGTTTTTTTCAAACTAGTCTTCAAAATCTGGGACATATAATTGATGCTCAAGGTTATTTATAAAACAAAGAAAAAGGTCTCTTCAATTCTTCAATCTTAAACCGCAAAAGACCTTCACAAATTTCTTGGCTTAATAAACTATTGCAACAAATTCATAACAGATTTAGCAACAATCCTACACCCACTCAACCAACTACTTAAGGAAGACGCACACTACAATTGGACCTCAAAATGCGAGAATAGTTTTCAAAGGGTCAAATCAGAACTAGCAAGTGATCGGGTCCTTGTACATTATAATCCTGATTTGCCTCTGGTACTAGCAACGGATGCCTCTCTGGTGGGCCTTGGTGCTATTCTTTCAATCGTTACAGGGATGGAAGTGAGAGACCGATAAGTTTTGCCTTGCGCAGTTTGACAAAATGTGAACAGCACTACAGCCAAATTGACAAGGAAGCCATTGGCATCTACTGGGGGCTTAAGAAGTTCTTCTCGTACTGTTATGGACGGAAATTTACTCTGATTACTGACCACAAGGCACTCGTATCCTGTGATAATATTTTTATACATATGAACTGTTATTATTCCTTACTGTATTTATGAATTTATTTTTTGTCTCACAGTTGTTCTTTGTTTACTATTTACATTTTGTATTTGTATGTTGACTTCAGAGTTTATTAAAACCTATCATTAGGTCTATTCATAATGAGTTTTATTTGCACTTCAATTTAATAAACTCTTTTCACAAGTCATGGACAAACTCCTCAAGCCTGACCGATTTGATGTAGAGCCAGAAAGTGATGGTGCAGAAGAACAATGGCTGCATTGGTACCAGACTTTTACCAACTTCCTTGAGGAATGTGACTCTAATGCAACAAATGAAAAGGTAAAACTACGTTTACTTGTTAATCACATTAGTCCATCTGTCTACAAATACATCTCTGGAGCTACAAAATTTGATGAAGCTATAGCTATTTTAAAAGAACTCTATATCCGTCCTAAGAATGAGATTTATTCCAGACATCTTCTAGCAACTCGTTTTCAGAAGTCAGGGGAATCAGTTGACCAATATTTACAAGCTTTGAAAGATTTAAGTAAACCTTGTAATTTTTCCCAAGTTTCTGCAGAACAAAATAAAAATGACTATATTCGTGATGCATTTATCAGAGGTTTGATTTCCCCAGTTATCCGACAAAGACTTCTAGAAAATAAAACATTAACTTTGAATGAGGCTTTTGAGAAAGCTAGAGTTTTGGAATTAGCTCAGTATCAATCAGAATATTATAACAAGCAACATTCTCAATTAAATTGCATACAACATTCTACTACTTCAGAACCAGAATCTGTCAAAAGTAACATGTCCTCAAATAATGCAGAGGAAACTTGTTTATCAGCCACTTCCTGGAAATGTTATTTCTGTGGTTCCAGTAAAAAACATACTAGAAGTGAATGTCCTGCTGCAAATCATATTTGTCATTCTTGTGGCAAGAAAGGACATTTCATGAAAGTTTGTAAGTCAGGAAGTAATTCATTACCTCCTACAAAACTTGACTCTAAAAAAACTTTCAGCAAAAATCCAGCTACATGTGCAGCTGCAACTAAATCTTTATCTAAATCTACTATTACGATTGAAGTAAATGGGATTAAAACTGATGCCTTAGTTGATACTGGTAGTTCGGAAACATTTATTAGTAAATCTCTAGTAGAAAAGAGGGGAATAACAATCTTTCCAACCACCGTTAGTGTTACTATGGCTTCTACTTCTTATCAACCAGTTACAGCTGGCTACAGTCTTGTTGATTTGTCGATTCAAGGTCATATTTACAACAAAACTAAACTCCTTGTTTTAGACGGCTTATGCGCTGATGTTGTCTTAGGACATGACATTTTCAAGGAACACTCAAGCGTTGAAGTCTCATTTGGGGGTAAGAAACCTACGCTGAAGGTGTGCGGACTTACAGCAGCTAAGGTTGCACCCGTCCACTTGTTTTCAAACTTAACTCTTGACTGTAGACCTATTGCAGTTAAGTCACGACGTTATTCAGAAGAAGATTCGAAATTCATAAAAGAAGAAACTGAACGCTTGTTGAAAGAGGGTATCATTGAACCAAGCACTTCACCTTGGAGAGCACAAGTACTTGTAGTTAAAGGTGAAACAAAAAAGAAGCGAATGTGCATTGATTATTCCCAAACAATAAATCGATTCACTCAACTTGACGCCTACCCATTTCCCAGAGTTGAAGATGTCGTTAACAAAGTTTCAAAGTTCAGTGTTTTTAGCACTATTGACCTTAAGAGTGCTTGGGTTCAAGGACAAATTAATACACTACTGACATAGTAAGATTTTTTGCGACGACGTTGTGGGTCCTTACACTCGAAACTGTAAAGAAAGTTGATAAGCTAAAGGCCCATCTCATATCCTATTTTAACAAAAAAAATACTGATAAAAATTATACCAATAAGCGTTTCCATTGCACATGCTAATTGTATTTAATAGTAATAATAGGTGTATTTGGGTATATTGAGCCTATATTCAATTGTTGAAAAATAAACAAAAAAACTTTAGACATGAATTAGGCCTAAATTATTTAGCTTTAGGCGTACAGAATCATAGTTTGAATTTACGCTCAAAGAAAATCTGGTCTGTAGTGTTATCTAATTTTTTTATCAATAAGGAAACGCCTGGTGACTAAAACCACTGGTTAGGTTGGCATACTTTGAAAACATTCACAGAAATACCTTGTCTACAAGGCTTATGGGACCCCATTGGACCTAAAAGAGACTAAATTTAAATAGGAAAAACAAAGATTAGTCAATTTTATAATTTAACCTAAATAAAACAAAACATGCAAATACACAAGAATAGGTAAGTCACAGCTTGATTCAAAGTAAACACCAGAAGAGAAACTCTGTTAGTGGGCCTACGCTTCTCATTATGGTAAATTAGGAAGTCTTCACTAAAACGTGTGCCTAAAACTTACTAAGTTAGTAGGCCTAATATAAATTCTCTGAGACACCAATCTTAACCATGTTACCTACGCGAACAGAAATTGTGCTTGCAGTTGGTTTTGGAAGATTGGTAGACTTTGAAAAATACATTTTTTACAGTTACAGTTTTTATTTTTCGGAAAATACCGGAACTTACCGAAAAAAGGGTAAAACGGGAATTTTTTTTACTCAAAATATGTCATGCAAGAATTTTTTGGATCCGATGAAAAACACCGGAGATAGGATGAAAAAACTGAATAATCGGTTAGGTTAGGCTTGGTTAGGTTAGGATAGGTTTGATTAGGTTAGGTTTGGTTAGGTTAGGTTAGGCTTGGTTAGGTTACGATAGGTTTGATTAGGTTAGGTTAGGTTAGGTTTGGTTAGATTAGGTTAGGCTTGGTTAGGTTATTTTGGTTAGGTTAGGTAGGGCTTGGTTAGGTTAGGTTATTTAAGGTTAGGATAGGTTGGGTTTTCGTAAGGTTGGATTAGAATAGGGTTAACCCACGATTACTAGAAAAATACCGGTATGGATCATAAACATAAACAAATGACGTTTTTGGCCCGAAAATAAACATAATTTAACATTGCTTAAATGGAACTGCCAAAACATATGTTCAATGCTATTAGTATAGGATTCGGGCCAAAAACGTCATTTTGTTTATGTTTATGAGCCATACCGGTATTTTTCTAGTAATCGTGGGTTTAACCCTAACCTTACCAAGCCTATCCTAACCTAATCAAAACCTAACCTAACCTAAGTAACCAATTCCAACCTAACCTAACCTAACCAAACCCATCCTAACCTTAAATAACCTGACCTAACCTAACCAAACTCAACCTAACCTAACCTTCTGATATGTTACGGTTAACCCTATTCTTATCCAACCTAACCAAACCTATCCTAACCTAAAATAACCTAACCAAACCTAACCAAACCAAACCTAACCTAATCAAACCTATCCTAACCTAATAAAACCTATCCTAACCTAAAATAACCTAACCTAACCTAATCAAACCTATCCTAACCTAAAATAACCTAATCAAACCTATCCTAACCTAACCAAGCCTAACCTAACCGATTATTCAGGTTTTTCGTCCTATCTCCGGTGTTTTTCATCGGATCCAAATATTCTTGCATATTCTTAATCTACACAATATTCCGCATATTTTGAGTACCCACATGACGTATTTTGAGTAAAAAAATTCCCATTTTTCTCTTTTTTCGGTAATGTCCGGTATTTTCCGAAAATAAAAACGTCATTTTCGGATTCAGCGTGAAATTTAGGTCATTATGGAAAAAAAATTCACTTTTGCGAGTAGTCACTACGTCGGAATAATTACCCAGTTTTTATTACAGTAGGCCTAATTGATATAGGCCTAGGCTAGTAATAATATCGATTATCAAACGAAATTTTCAATTCGATAGTTTCAATCAATATTAGCATAGGCCTAGTCCATTGAAGAAACTGTACCCCCTATTTCACCTTGCAAATCGCGTTTGAAAATCGAGAAAAATGCTTGAAATCGGAGATTTTAGGTGCATGAAAAACATCTTAGGCGTTTCCCCCAAAGGTGCCAAAGGTAAAAAATGCTTAAAATAACTTAGTCTAATTTTGGTAGATAGGGCAAAAAAATTCAATAGGCCTATAAGTTAGCATAAGTAGTACAAGTTCGGTAGCCTATTACGCTACTGTACTAAGTTAATCAGTTAATGTTGTGGTAATGGTGTTAACAGTAGGCCTAAATACAGTAAAGTAGCCTAAGCTACAAAAATGAAAAATAGCCGATATTAAAAGAATTGCACCAAAATGACGTAGGGTATAAAACCAGCACAAAAGACGAAAATCCTTAAAAGACTGCTTTGATTTTAACAATCTTAGGAAAGCAACTAGCAATTTAACTGTTAAAAAAACAAACAACGTAAATTATTTCTCCAATTAGGGAATTTTTTTTAGTAAAAATTGATGTCAAGGCTTTGGATGCCGGTACCGCTAGTGAAAATTAATCTCGATCTAAGCATAGCCTACCGGTAACATTTACAAAATTAAATAAATAATTGTGCCCATCTAACTACCGGGTGTTCAATATTATTTTCAATTTCATTCTTATCTAATCCATCTTCAAAATAAATTACCTGTTTTCAAGCTGCTCAAATGTATTGCTTCAAAAAATCCTAACTACTTAGGTTATGGTTATGTTTTAGGTTACGTAGAGGATACGCGTCCGGTAACCGGACGTGGATAAGGCGTACGGCAATGACGTCATGGGGTTGCGGGAGCCTGGAACGCCTTTACTACAACAATACCATGACCAGCCATCGGTGGTCGTGGTGTAGTGGATAAGGTGCTCGGCTGATATGCAAGAGGTCCAGGGTTCGAGTCCCATTGGTGACTTTAACTTTTTGTCGAAGATTTTGCATTGAATACCATTTATTCTTAACTGTACATCTTTTATTAGAATTTTTGGCATTTATAATTTTTTAATAGAGAAAGAATTTAACCTTAATTCGATTTTTTCATCATCAGCAAGTTTGGTTGGTTAGGTTAGGTTATGACAGTAATTGCCGGACGTCTAATCCACGTCCGGTTATCGGACGTGTATCCTCTGCCTTTAGGTTATCTCTGCTCTTTCAGAATTAAAGAGCAAATAATTATTCTGGCTCCGCTCTGGGGCTGGCTCCTGTGGTGTTTACTCAAGGGAGGTACAGGAGAGCATTCGATGACGTCAGCTGTCAGATCTCCTCATGAGGGTACACCTTTACCGCAACGATAAGGAAATCAGTAATCGGTCTCGGTGGTGTAGTGGATACTGATAATGAAAAAATCTTAGACAAAAAGTTAATGCTACCAGCGGGATTCGAGCCCGGGACCTACAACTCATCAGCCCGGCACGCTGACCACTAGACCACCGAGGCCAATGTCCACAACCCGTATTGTTACGGTAATAGCGTTCCCTCAGCTAATAAGAAGCCCACAGCTGTCACCGTAGGCTCTTCTATACCTCCCCTGAGTAAATACCTAATCCGAGGGTGCCGGGTTCGAATCCCGCTGGCAGCACTAAATTTTTGTCAACAATTTTTTTTCATATCAGCAAGTTTGGTTGGTTTGGTAAGGTTATGACAGTTTAATTTTATAATTAAAAATTATAAAATTGAATTTTAGGCATTTATAATAATTATTTTATTTTATGAACAAAACTATTTTTAAGATCAGTAAACCTTCATTCATTTTTTTTCATTATCAGCACGTTTGGTTAGTTTGGTTAGGTTATGACAGTTAAATTTAATAATTGAAAATTTTTAAGATTAATTTTATAATTTTTCTTAATTTTATAATTAACTAGGCGTAATAGACTGGAGTCTAAACCTTCGCTATATCATCACGATGTTGTCCCCTTCCCCTGGCACTGTGGAGAGGGGGAAGCACAATTTTTATTTCAGCTGGAGTTTTTTAATACGGACAAAATGGGAGCATTCTGTTGGCTGAGGGCACACCATTACCGCAGACAATATAATACCATTGACTTCATATGAGCTAGTTTTATAACTATTTTTTTTTCAATTAGTAAACCTTCATTCTATTTTTTTCATCATCATCAAGTTTGGTTAGGTTATGACAGTTTAATTTTATAATTAAAGAAATTATAAAATTGAATTTGAGGCATTTATAACTTTATTTTATGAACAGAACTATTTTTTTTTATTCGTAAACCTTCATTCGATTTTTATTAAAAGTCTTTTTCATATAATCTGCAAGAATGGTTGGTTAGGTAGTTTATGATAGTTTAATTTTATAATTAAAAAATAAAACATAATTTAAAATTCGAAAATTAATTTAATAAGTTTTAATTTTTTAACTCTCATTTTGTTCTTATTGAAAAACTGCAGCATAGGGGGAGGCCTTCTTTTAGGCAACCTTTCATCTAGGTACCATTTCACTTAAATCACTTATCAAGTTGGTACCGACAACTCAAATCGGTCAGCTAGGTCCCGGCCCCTCCCTTCTGGGGGAAGGGCGTGGCTTCGCCGTGGTCACGTGTTTCGCGGTGCGGTCGCTTACCCTCTACACTTCTGAAAATTCCCGCGACTTCTTTGAATTACCCCTACTCCACCCAAATTTCAGCCTTCCTTCGTCTCGTTTCGTGTTCTGTCTGTTCTGCGTTTCTTCTTCTTCTTCTCTTCTTAGATCTGCTGCTGCTGCTCTAGCTCTGTCTCTGTCCAGTGTCTAGTAAGTTTGAGGTTGGATTTTGGAGAATTTATTGTTTGTCAATTTCAATTGTCATACAAATTTGTATTTTAGGTGTGTATTTTCAATTTAGGCCTAAGTTACAACTACTACAGTTTAAAGAACCATTTTTGTCATCACAAAATTGAAAGGTGTAACTTATTGACATGGACATGGTCATTAGAATATTAACGTTTCAAGCAAATTCAAATTAGTTTCTGGTAGCCTATAAAATAAATTGGGGGTACAGTTTCCTGGGCTTCGCTAATATCGATTGAAACTATCAAAATGAAAATATTGATTAATAATCGATACTGGTATTTAAAATATATCTATTTAAACTGCACTTTATGCCTTACGTCCTACACTATAATTCGAATAAATATATTGATCAATAAATTGATTATCTCATTTAATATATCAAGTTTGGTTAGTAAAGTTAACCTAACCTAACTTAGCTAACCGAATGAATCGATACATCAAATAGGCCTAGTCTATCCATTAGTTGCATACTGCGCTTTTAGTTGGATTTTTAAACTCATAGAAAATTATGACTATTAGTTTTAATATAACTTCCGGTACTAGACTATTGATCGATTTCGAGCAACAAGTGCACTAGTTTTTTTTATATTTTTATTTTTTATAAGATGCTGACAAAGTATAAAGTTTTTCGTATGACAGTTTTAGTTTACCAATTGAGTTTTTAGCATTTTATAGCATAGCCTATACGTATTTGATACTCTCAGCAGCTGGAGTAGTGTGATTTTTTCTTTGATTATTGTGGCTTTACGTGACAGGTGGAGGTGGATGGCTATAACTTACAAGGTTACATGGTACACATTAAATTCATAATGATTTGCCTATTCCGGTAAACTGGCTTTTTCGTAGGACTACGCTTCATTGCTCTTTATAATTTTAAGAGATCTATTGTTCAAGGCGTCAATGGGCAACTAACCTAAGTTTATCGCCATTCTACCGCATTATAACCCACCCTACAGGGCCCGGATTTTGTAGGTAGCAAATGCGCAACTAACCTACCGCCAGGGCAACGGCCATCAAAACATTTTTATATGTGATAATAAACCTTGTAGCTTAGTCTAAACTTAGTTGATACTACTAACAATTTGGTGGGTGGGTTATAATGCGGTAGAATGGCGATAAACTTAGGTTAGTTGCCCATTGACGCCTTGAACAATAGATCTCTTAAAATTATAAAGAGCAATGAAAACAAAATAACTTCGCCATCTTAAAGACATCTAGGTTTAGTATTCATGACCTTATTAATTAATTGCTCTGGACCTTAATATTTGAAAGTTCTCATTAATTACCCAACAAAGCATACAAATAACCCCCTTGTTACAACCAAACAAAGGGGGTTATTTGTAGGTAACACAGTTTAGTTGTAACACAGTTCACATTTCTAACACATATGTACTTATGTGTTACCTGTATTAAAAATGTATTTAGTATAACTATTGATTGTACTCAAAACGTTTCTGGGAGTACCGTAAACATAAAGATCAGCGGAACCAGGAAGGACGGCCCGCGGCGCGATTTATAAAGAACCTCTTTGCGTTACTAATTACTCCATTACACACGACTAAAGAATTCTATTTGAAATTGCTTGGTTATATGCTGAAGATCATCTCATTAGCTACAATTTTGTCGCTTGAAGTTTGCTTCTGACAAAAAAATATAAAAAATCCTCGCTTAGTAACTTTTTCATGTCAAGTTATGATATTTGTTTAACATTTTTAGTTGTTAAAATTCGAATTACGATTTAAATAAGATTATATTTATACTGTCAGATTCTGGAGTTAATGCAGATTCTGAATATATAACTTTAATTGCAGTCAACCTATTGTATGCACGGCCAGGAGCGTATTAACAATCGCGTGCACGGCTTGAGGAACTGACATATGCCTGCAACATGTGCCTGCAACTCGCGCATACGCAGGTCCTCCAAACTACCGCATGCTCATAAATGACAGGTAATCATAACCTCAAATTTCGTTGAGTCCGTTGGAGGAAATTTTCAAAGCCACTTTGTACGCGCAAATCTCTCATCAATTGATTAAATGCACCTTCCAATGCTCTTTTAGCCAAAAAAACTTCTTATCCACTATCTAGGTAGTTTCCTTCTAAGTTCATTGTATGCACCAGCCATAAATAAAAAAGCAGAGGCTGTTATGTCATCCATGGTGATTTGTAGAACACAATATAATCAAAATCAGCCACCGAACCTCACCGCATCACAATAAAAGAGAACACTGCCTTGTCTGCCAGTTGTAGTCGCGGGTCTTGTGCCTGGAATGGAAACGGCATGACAAACTACGTGCGACATGTGCCTCGTCATGGTCTCGACATGTGCCTCGACTTGTGCCTGCGACTTGTAGGAATGGAAATGTAGCTTAAGGGTACTCACGGCGTAGTGCTTGATATCCTGACCCTAGAAAAGATGACGTGCAGTCAGTGGTGGATCTAGAACAGTCACAAGGAGGGGGGGACCAGGGTGTCTGAGAGGTTCGGGGGTACCCCCTCCCTCCCCAAAAATTTGTTTAAACTAAGTCTTCAAAAATGGCAGTTTTATACCATTTCTTTGTCCTAAGTTAGTGTGACAAATTATTTTACGCAATTTGTATGCACTACTGTATTACATGCAGTCAAAAATAAATGACATATATTTCCAAACTGCGACTGCCCCCCCCCCCCCTCTGGATCCGCCACTGGGGTGCAGGAGTACTATACCAGAAGAGCACAAAATATAGACTTTTCCTGCTGTCGTCTCAAACGTACCTAGAATAGCTATCCTCGTTCTACTATTAACTACAACTCATAACTGCCTACTCATTTGCAGGAGATGGATGCACCCTCCTTCAGAAGGCGCTGAAAGGAATACTAATTATAGGCCGCTGTACTCCGTAAAAGAACTTAAGGAAGAGCACCTAGTGAGATAAGTGTATGTCTGCCATATCATCCGTTAAACAGCCAGATTTTTGAAGGTATAGTTTATTGTAAATATTATATATAGAGTTATTTATTAAATCACTTAATAATTTACTAGCTTCTGTGCCCGTTCTTCGCAACGGGAAGATGAACTATACCGCCTAATCCAAACAGTTGTTAAGTAGTCCGAATTTATGAACAAAAGCCACCAAATGTTGGCCTACTGTATAAAAACAATTATGACCAACATTGTAATTGCCCTACTGTTTACGTTAAAATATATCAATAACATAATATTCATTTTCATATTTGAGTTGTTTTGTCTCAAGATCAATGAACCCACTATAAAAGGTATAAAATTACCTCAGTACTGCCAGATTGATCCTGTTTAGTCCTTATAGATTACGGGTTTTAAGGACCTAAGTCCTCATCATGAGATCTTGTACAAGAACATTTAACACTGTAACTTCGAAAGGGTCATCAAGAGTTTAAATGCGAAACACGGACATATACTATTTACAGTCAGACGTTTTATGAACAAAACGAGTAGGCTTACTGACAAAAACTTACAATGTCCAACCCCAACCTTGTGCGCACAGTTGCAGATGAGGGTCATGACTGCGATGCGGAAGATGGTTGGGCAGTGGACTTTGTATAGCTCGGCTCCTTGTTCATCAGCTGTTCTTGTTTTTTTATTAGAGTATCATACAGAGCGTTAGACTGTAAACTGATTTTGTCGTTTAATAATGTGTTAGCTCGAATTTTGATTGTTTTATAAATTTCAAATTCTTCTAAAGCATCCATTCCTGTATATTGCTTTTACAATCAAAATAAACTATGCCATGGCTCGGTCCCCAGGTACTTATTTCAATTCAGGAAATTAAAGCCTTCACAACTATTATTCAACAAAAACTTCTTTGCACTAACTTGATCAGGGAAATATAGGCCTAGACAAAATATAAAAGGTTTAATTTACCTGTTGCTGATCCTGTTAAAACTGTTAACAGGGGCAGGCCAAGACCATAAAGCACTTCATCCAAAAATAAAATTATTGCGCACCCCATACAGTTGTTTTCTTGAAGTTACAAGTTAAGGCGTCCGATAAAAGCCTGTAGCTTCCCAATTAGATCCTCCTCAGGAAGATATCTACCTCTTGCCACATTAACAAGAGTTATTCTTCTAGCAAGAAGAATAACTCTTGGTAATGTGGCAAGAGGTTAACATGTGTCTTTAACAAGCAATGAAAGCCCCTCAAAGATCGAGTTTGTGTCGCACGTTTGTAGGCGGAATAAACCAGTTAAAAACTTTTAGTTAAGGGTACCTATGGTAATTTATTGTAAAATAAGACCTTTTTATTTGAAACTACCAACTACACCAACCCGCATAATTTGGCACCCCTGAGTATTTTAAAATTGTGACTTTCTTTACCAAGATTAAAATGTTTGTTTCAGGAAGAAAGATGTAGCCCCAGCTCTGGACAAAAATATTATGGAGAAGGTTGGCCGCTGTACAGGGCAGCTATAGTTATTATTATATGTTGCCTTTTATTGTTATGTACTGTTTTTATACTTTACCAATAAACCTTATATTTATCTATAGCAGTTAATTTTGTTAAAATTCTTACCAGTAAACTTCTCTGTAATTTGTAAAGAAAACATGTAAAAATGATTATATATTTTATTTTGATCTTCTAACTATTTTGACAGTTTTATAGATAAAATATTCTTTTTTTAGATATATTTTTTTATTGTTCTTGTTCGTACATGTCTCAGATCCATAAAGATACATAAGAGTATACATAAAGATAAAATGATATTTATATTTATATTATATATGCGAGTGCCAATCTTAAGAAGCAAAGTTAATATATAGCTAGTAAAATAAAATAATTTTGGTGTTTAATGACTAATGAGTGTACTGTAAAAATGAAATAAGTAATTCAAAAGTTGAATCAAAAACTCTATTTAGCCAACCCAATAAAATCACTCAAGAATTTTCCTCTGAATAAATGTTTGAACTTCATTGTCTAGAGGTGTTAGGTTAATGAGACATAAGACTGCTTAAGGGTGTTGCTCAACGTGTAATGAACAAAATTAAATTAAGAAAAACAACAAAAGTAAAGCAAAAGAAAACTTTGAAAAGGCAAAGATCAACAATAATAAGATAAATAAATTTACAATGTTATAATTTACAAGAAAAGAAAATCAATTAAAAATTTAAAAGAATGAGTTACTGACAAACTATATGACTTGTTTGTTTTACAAAACTTTAGTTATATATTTTATTCTTTTTACATACTGTTTATTGTCCCAGAAGCACACGCACCGATACACACACTCCGAAACTCTCGATCTTCTTGGTCCAGTGGCCCGTGGTGAACTCCTCGATTTGTTTCTTCAGGTTCTCCAGCTCCAGCTGAGAGACTCCTCACCCCTCCATTTTCTTCATTAGGCCTTCTCATTGGCTGATTGGGTGTTTGACTTATAGGTTAACGATGTTTCTTGGAAGTCAGCCCTACCGGTCATCGCCTGGCTCACGTCAGCTGGGAAAGGAATTTGTAAATCGATACTCATGCTCCTGTTCAACTCTCTTCACACCAACTGGTCGACTATAGTCCTCGCCACCCTAAGTTGAGGCAGCCAAAGGCCGCACTAGATATACGCCGTGCGGCCTTGGGCTGCCTCAACTTAGGGTGGCGAGGACTATAAGTGTAATGTAAACAGAGTATCTGCTTAGATGAGCACCGTGGGTACGGGGTTAATCCCCTTTCTTGCAATGTAAATCTATGTTGTAAACTTCTTGACATACGAGAACTACTTTAAGGACAATTTATATAAGGCGTACGCTCATTCTTCCCGTATTGGGGGCCTAAGACATTGAAAAAGGCTGTGCTGGTAAAAGCGACCAGAATACACAGTAAGACCGAAGACCCTAGTTGTTGCCGCACATAAAAATTATACTGGATATATAGCAGGTATGGATACAAAAATCATGGATGCTCAAACAGTGTCTTGCACAGCAGATCATTTTGAGAATGCCAGAGGTCTTGGCACAGATGTGCTGAATGTCTGGCCCAAAGCCCAAACGCACATGGCGAGTCAATAAAAATCTGGGAAATAGTCAATATCCAGAGAATTTTGTTAATGCCAACAATTTTTAACTTATTCTTGGTGGAATCAACCATTATCTTTGGTCAAGTCTTAGCTAAGACATCATTAAGAGACTGAGACGGTGGTGTCATCCTGTAATTCAACTACTAGGAGGTCACGAGTTGTGGATGTGATACTTCGTGGTTTGAATTAACGCCCTTACTACGACTATCCGCAGTACATCCTGATAATTAGACCAATTTTTTTATACCAAGGAAAAATGTGGTTCGGATTCTACTATAAACTGTAGGTCCCTATAGTTTCCATTAGCCCAAAGTATGGGCTATTAATTGACAGCTGTGTCTAAGGAATATGTCAGCCTTAGTCACTAACAAGGATACAAAATCGTGCCACTCATCCATCCTACACTCATCTCCATGCATACTGGTACTTGGCTTAAAATACCTACTTTGTATGGTTGCCATTTCAAATTAAAGTATTAAAAGCCTAAGGCAAAATTACTCATAATCATAGAGGGAAGCAACTTTCCACAAACAGATTTATATCATCAGCGAACTAAGGGATCTTGATAACTCTCTTGATGCCTTTAAAGAATATGTACAACTAAAAATATCTGTAAATTTCTTTTGATGTTTTCATGATAAATATGCAATGCAATACAACAAAGTAACTTTTGAACATTAAAAATAGCTGTTAACAACAAATTTTTCGATAAAACTCTTTACAAAAATCTGAAGGGCAGGTCCAGAATTGATGGCCTCTCAAGTCCGTAAATTGCATCTGTGATGTTGTTTAGTAAGTTCAACGCTAAATGATTATCATAGTTAACTTAACTTATCCAATCAATAGTGTTATTAATACTTATGAAGTCAAACGGAACGGAGTGAAGCCCGTGGATAACATCTAGCTGTCTAGTTGATATAAAACACGTTTTTGAAAATAATTCGATTGATGCTTTAAAAGCAAATGTTAGGCATTTATTTTATGAGTTATTTAACTTTTCATACAACAGATCTATGGAACATAACAATAAATTATTCTCTTTAGCGCTCCTTTAGCGAAGCACGGGTATGGCGGCTAGCTATAGTACGCTCTATTTCGCAACGGGTACACAAGTTCAGAATACATTTAATTGTTTGATGTAATAATTAAGTCAATAGCCCAAAAGTAAACACATCCGATTTATTGTGCATCCTATGTTCAATTGTGTTTTGGATTTTGTCGCATAACCTAAAACCAGTCAAACGGTTACATGGAAATTGTGGGAAATTTCGCTCTACAAGTGCCTGATGCATCCCTGCATTTATCCCACTGAGCTAGATTTATCCAACAGTGTTGTCATATTGAGGGAGTAACACTAAATTCAGGGGCGTAATCTCGCTGGATAAAATTAAAAGTCTGCAGCAACCCCTATTTCAAATTTTAAAGGGAGCTCTGTCTGGAGCTCCGTTTTTATATATTCTACTACTGTATTTAACTTATGGATTTTATTTTGTACCTTTCATATGTGTTATATTTAGCTAATAATCTTAACATATAAAAGTAAAAGCCCTCACTCAAAAGTAATTGCCCTCACTCAATGATTTATTACTAATCCAACTTCCAGACTAGCTAGAACGTTGAAATTTGGTGTACTGATTCTTCAGGCATTAAATAGGAAAACTAAGTAGTTTTTATCCTGATCTGACTTTTGGGTTCCACCCAAGTGGTTCTGGAGTTTCCTTAACCTTATAAGTATCTATATTATTAAAAGACTTTGTTGGATTTTGTGTGCAGCAAACTGACCCGGATAAGTTTGAATGTTTATAGGCATATTGGGTATCTATATATTAAATATATATACCCAATATATTTAATAGGCAAACACGAATTTTGTGACGTATCCGTTTTGAAGCTGCTATGCATCCGATCACCACGTAGATAAATGCTTTCCATTGACCTACCTTTATTGATTGGCATATCACTGACAAATGATCACTATAATGTATCTCAAAACATATATAAGACCTAGAATAATAAAATTTTGGATTGGGACGACAATCCATGTATATGGTGTAGATGTACAAAGTTGGGGGTTTTGCAAAGTTCTAAATTCAAGGGTGGTTTAGGGGATTAAATCTATTTAAGAAGAAATTCGAGTATGCAAGATATTATATTTTGGTCTGTAACTTAAGCTACAATGCTTGGATCTTAAATCTTATGGAAGATCGGTAGTGTAGAATTAAATTATCCACAACTTTTGTATTTCAAGAGTGTTTTTCTATCTCAAACATATTTCGAGTAAAATAGGTTTACATTCAAATAAACTGTGAAAATTTGCTTGTTCCGCCACCTAAAAACTAGTCAGTGTCCGTACGTTTAACCATATGATTACCAATCTTTTATTTTATTTAATAGCATTATTTATTTTATAATAATAATGCATAAATCAATAAAAGCTGTTAAAAACCTATCAAGTGTACTATCGCAAGTATAGCTACCGACATTATTACATTTTAGGAGCTTGCTCCCGTAAACATTTGAAATCTTCTATTCTAAAGCTTCAATTCAGTCTAGGTTGTTATCATTAACCGGAACTGCTACACAATTTGTTGTAAAACGGTGATAGTTTTCGTTAAACGTTAATAGAGTCAATCTTCTTATATTTAAAAATAAATTTAACCGATTTTCATGATTGAGGTCTCTAATTGAAGGTGTGCACAGATTTCACACTAAGCATCAGCATATATATTGATCTACTGTATTACTCGTCCAAAAAACATCTATTTAACTTTTTCGAATTCTTACTTCAATTTAAGATGCATTTCACCAGTTATAATTATATAATCCTACATATTTTGGTCTAAGAACCTTCAGTGAAATGCCGGCTTTCCATTTAAGCTATTAATTAGTTATCTAAATCGGACGGACTACAAGCAATAATTGCAATGTGAACAACCAACATATAAATTATTTTTTTATAAGGGTTTTCTATGATTAAAAATCAATAGGTCCACTATTGTTTATGTTTTTTCATGTTTTTGACGCAAAATAGTAAGTTAATTAAAGGTTTTAATTTGAGCTATTTATCGTTTGAATCAGTTAAGATCAAGATACTCAATAAAAATTTATAAATTTGATTATTGCTCGAATATGATTTTCATTTCAACGTTGTAGAGTACCATGGGCCCTCTAGTAATTATTAAATGTACAGAAGGGACAACAAAATTCAAGAATAATATCAAATCAAGAGCATGCCGAGACAGTAACGGGGAACATTATATATACAGTATATCACTAAATAAAATAATGTTTTTGTGTTACTTTTAATCCTACTTTAGACTATCTGAAATACTTTTCAATAAAGTTAGAGAAAACTAACTGTACCATTGGAAAATTTGGCTTGGAGTATGATAATGAATGAAAGGAGATATGAATACTTTAGTATTTTTGGTAAAAACATCATTCAGTTGTTCCATTTCGGTAGTTCCGTTCCGTAGCGAAGTC